TGACACGCCGCTACAGTGTTTTCAGCTTTTCTCTAGACGAGTGGCTATTCACTCAGGAAACTTGAAAGGACAAATTTTTCTGTCCTGCATTACTAGGGAGACTGATTCCGAGCCGCAGCCACTGCCAGAGAGCTTGGACTTGCTATTCAAATCCCAGGGCCGTTGAAATCTGTAAAGTGGCTACATGTAAACGAATCCAGGCTGCGGGTGACATGTGAGAACCGGGGTCTGGTTCTCATCTGTTTGGCCGAGGGGGGCTGCGTGGGCATCCTTTCCATTGGAAAGTCTTCTGGTTCCATTAGGAGGAGTTCCTTGTTTTTCTCCCTCCCTCCCTCCCTCCCCTTCACTTCATGTGTGTTTGAATAGTAACAGTGAGTGAGTGCATTTCTTTTTTTAAAAATATATATATTTTATTGATTTCAGAGAGGAAGGGAAAGGGGGAGAGAGATAGAAACATCAATGATGAGAGAGAATCATTGATTGGCTGCCTCCTGCACGCCCCACACCAGGGATGGAGCCCAAACCCCGGGCATGTGCCCTGACCAGGAATCAAACTGTGACCTCCTACATGGACCTGATAGGCATTCAGGTCAGTTTGGGGAATTATTTTACAGGAAAACCAGCTCCCCTCCCCCCAACTCTCCCTGTATTCCCAGCCTCCTCTGTGGACTGGGCTCTTTCAGAGTTCCCGAGCTGAAGAAGGGGGGACAGAATGGGAGGGTGTCGCCGAGAGAAGCACTGAACTAAGCGGATCTGTTCCCTCCAGGAGGCAGGCGTTCAAATAGTTCGGGAACAAAAGGCAGCCGTTAGGTTTATTGGGTTATATTTTACATAGATCTGTATTCAAGATGTAGGCCATTTTCAAGAAAGCTTTCCTGGGTTAGCGCAGTAGAACTGTAGGCCTGCGAGGGAACTTGCGTGATTGGCCGTGTTTCCAGCCTCTACCCTCACGCAGCTTGGGCCAACTCAAGAAGAGAGGTATTCAGGCCCTTGTTTTCAGGCCGAGTCTTAATTCCCACTCAGATTGACGGGGTATGTGTGTACTTGTCTTACAGTTGAACAGGGATTTGCAGAGGTGAAAGGTCTCCTGCCTTGGGAAACACGGGCCCTTTATTTCTAGCCGTCTCCCTTACCCAGTTCTCCCCTTTCTGTCCATGTCCAGAATTCTGCCGAGCCTCCTGGGGACTGAGGGCTAATCTTGTACCTCAGGATGATTCTTAGGGTTGAGTTGGCCTGTGTTCTACCAGGCAGAGCAGTATGGGGTTGGAAGGGAATTTTTTAGCAGACTTGATTGGAAAACTGACTTTATCCATCATATGAAATGTAAGCTGCTTTAAAAAAATATATTTTTATTGATTTCAGAGAGGAAGGGAGAGGGGGAGAGAGAGAGCTAGAAACATCAATGATGAGAGAGAATCATTGATCGGCTGCCTCCTGCACACCCCGCACTGGGCTCAAGCCTGCAACCCGGGCATGTGCCCTCACCGGGTTGACTGAGAATCGAACCGTGACCGCCTGGTTCATAGGTGGAAGCTCAACCACTGAGCCACATGGCTGGGCAAATTTAAGCTGCTTTGGAATCAGTTGCCTAATGGTACATAATGCTCCTGGTATACAAGGCACCTGCACCAGGGTCTCAAGACATGCCCTTCCTCTCCCTCCACCTCACACAGAGAATCAAATGGGAGTTTGACAGAGGCACAGGAAAGACATAGCAGTGGCTTAAAGGAAGAAGAGCCACACTGTACAAATAATGTAGCGCATAGCATGGCACTGCATCTGCTGTCGGAGGGATCAGAGATGGGTAGGATGGTTTGGAAAAGGCTAAATGGAGGACATTGGTTTTGAGCAGATCTTTGAAGCAAAGATGGAAGAAAGGAACATAAATTAGACATAACAGAAGGGAAAAGATGATGTTTCTCACTGTAAAGTAGAAAGATGATTTTTATAAAGGAAACCGCATACAAGAGTGTGGAAGTAATCAGGAGAGTTTGTGTTACGGACTGCTGAGCGGTAAGACAGCTGGGAGGAGTGGGGCAGAGGAGCAGGTCTCAGATTCTAAGGGACTTGGATTTGAAGGGCTGGGCACTAATGCTAGTTGTGAAGGGTAAGGCATCTCAATCAAGAAAACTTGGAGAAAAGATTCAGCATGGTGAATTTAAAAGGAACAAATAATAGGTTAAATTATTGGGTTAAACATGTACGACTAAAGGATAAAGAAATGTGTTATAAAAGTAGTTCATGTGGGGGGGAAATCATCTGGGAGCACATAATAGTATTTTGTGGCTTTAAAAAAAGTGAACACGTGTTAGGCTGCTGTAGTGGAAACATCATGTCCAGTTCTGTGCTGTTCCAAAAAGAACATATGTGTTATGTTTTTTCTTTGTTTGTTTGTTTTTCCCATTTTGGGCCCCACGCTTTAAAGAGGTTTTGGATGAACTAGAATCATCCAGTTGGGGGAGCAGCATAGGTTTGATGCCTCTGCTACCTACTAGCTTAATCTTTCTAAGCTTCAAGGTCTTCATATACAGAGTGGAGATCATAATATAATATACTGTTATAAGGAGTAATAAAAGCTGTAAAATGCTTAGCAAATACATAATACATAGTAAGTGCTTTAAAAAATGTTGGTGACTGTCATTATTACTATTGTTATCTTAAGCATGGAAGAGCTACTAAAATAGTGAGGAAGTCCAGAAATAATTTATTTATATGGTTTTTTTTGAGGTTTTGATTTATTTACATTTTTAATTAATATATTTTTATTGATTTCAGAGAAGAAGAGAGAGGGAGAGAGAGATAGAAGCATCAATGACGAGAGAGAATCATTGATCAGCTACCTCCTCTCACCCCACAACCCGGGCATGTATCCTGACCAGGAACCGAACCATGACCTCCTGGTTCATAGGTCGATGCTCAACTGCTGAGCCACGCCGGCTGAGCCAGAAATAGTTGTCCTGTACTGAGGAATAGGCCAGGGGTGGACAACCTTTTTGTGAGTGCGTGCCAAAACCAGCAAAATCTCTGACTCAAAATTCTTCTGTGTGCCAACCCTAATTTTTTGACAACATGTTACACCTACTTGATATCTCTTAAGGT